TACAAACCAATATTTTCAAAATTGGTATTAAGCAACATGTGTTGTTATTAAAAATATTTCACATTAACTTATTTGGTTGTAAGATCTTATGCAACTTGATAGTTGGTTATTATAATGGTATAGTTATTGATATTTATTTTTTAATTTCATATATATATATATATATATAACGATTGCCATGAACTCAAAAAAAAAAGAAACAAGATATTGTAAATTTACTGAATGATAGAAATATAAAATTGACAGTCAAAAAAGAAATGAAAAACATTGGCAAAATAGGAATTCAAAAACAAAACTGGCTTTAAGAATGTGAAAGAAGGGGAATAAGCAAGAATGTATTTGAAGTTGGTATTGCAAATATAAACAAAAAGAAAAGATGTACAATATTTTGAATATTGGCTAAAAACTTGAAAACAATCATACTATCACATTTAAATAAACATCCAAAGAGAAATATCTAAGTCAAGCAAAGAAGTAAATGAAAACAGATTTCTCAACAGTAATTATTAGTTATGATTGAATAAGTACATTGAATGAACCTGATGACTGGGTTAGACATTGGTTTTTTTCTTGGAAACAGTCAATCAACACAACTCAGAAGATAACAGAGTTGAGGTGAAAGAGTAATGTTTTGGGTTAGTATTATAGGCAGTAAAATTATAGGTCCCTTCAAAGTTAATGATGGCTCATGATAAACATAGACAATTATTGTAAGTTCTTAAAGAAGAAATTTTTTGAATGGTCCTGCTCACAACAAAGAAGTTTTAACTTAAAGAGTATATTCATGCAAAGTAATGCTCCTTTATTTACTTCAAAGCTGAATATTACTTACCTTGCTAAAAAGGTTTCAAAGAGATCAAATTAATGAAATAGCACTAAGCCTCTCCAGATATTTATGAAAAAGAATGTAGCTCTTCATTAATATATATGTAGATAAGTTAACAAAATCAATGAATATAAGACCTATGAAAGTTATAGAATGTTAAGGAGCATATATTAACAAGTAAAATAATAATAATAAGGTATTCAGATATGTGGGATATTGCATGAAACAATATTTTTCTATGGCATATAGCTTTTGGGGTTATTCATAAATATGCAGCTTGCATAACAAAACCCGATGCAGTAAAACAATTTAGCATTCTTATTTTTTAAATAAGGATAGATATTCTACATTGAAACTCATTTGCTATGTTCCTTGTAAATAAGTATATCCTGAAAATGTTACTAATATTGATTAGCAAATATCAATTTTATTATGAAAATACTAACTTGTATAATATCTGAGAGTGTGTATATGTCAGTATATGATACCATCATTTTGTTTTTGCATACTACATATTTATATCTACAAAAATAGAGAGGCCAAGCATTCCTACATCTGCTCAAAATATTGACATGCAATTTATGTCTTATGCACACCTGAATGGCTAACTGAAATTTCTGCAGTCAGCTTGGTTATTAAAAGCTGTCAATCTGTCATAATTTATTCGTTTTCATATGGTAACAATGTCTAGTTCATCCTTTCAAATTTTTCTAATGAATAAATACTTAAATATCTTCATTCAATGTTTTGATTTGACTTATTAGTTATATAATCATCTGCCTTGTTACAAAAATATTTGTTAATGATTGAGAAAATTTAGCAAGATCCATTTTAGAAATTTAAATATCAAAAACTCATGAGATGTAAGTTTTAAAGAATGGTATATTTTATCAAATACCTCAGTTCTTTCACATCAATATATATGACCTGATAAATAACTTTGAGTAAGTCATTACCAGTAACATAATAAGAAGGGAAGTTGCACTTTCTGTGTTTGGACAACTAACGATCAGTGACACATTTATAGTCATCAATTTAAGCTGAAAGCAGCACAAAACACAAATAGAATGAGATAATTTTACTAATAAAATTTTACTTAAAAGACAATTCAATCCACTAAGACAGGTAGACCAACAGAAATATTTTCAAAGATTATGTATTATGCCAAAAGCAAAAGAAATGTTTTTCATTTACTCTTGTAAACATTAATGTCTATATAAATGGACATACATAAAAATAACAATTTTATCCTCACACTAGTATTACTTGAGTAAATTTTTTATTAAGTAATTTTTGTTATATTTATCAATAGTAGGCACATGGCCGAGTGATTAGAATATTCACTTTCCAACCATGAAACCTGGGTTCAAATCTTACCAGGGTTGATTTGTCAGGAAAGTGAGTTCTTGATATTATTGTCCTGAGGAGGTGATCTCAGCATGCAGCACCCTTGAAAAGTGTTTGAAAACTAGGCCATGAGTTGACCTAAGCCATATAAGTGAAATTGGGTAGATGGAATTGTTTGTCGATGCTTGTGCTAGCATGAAGTCACAAGTCATTGTGACCGAGGGTTTGAGCATCTCTGGCCTTGTTTAAACTTTTGATCACACTAGATGATGTACTCTCTCCCAGAAACTATAACTAAGGTCTTCTCAACATTGTTGCAATATAAACCATGGGTAGGTTCTGTAGGTGTTGAACAAACACACATGAGTAAGTGTCTGCAACAGGGATTGGCTAGATGTCCTAGCAGTCACGCATACTTGGATACTAGTGGCCAGCGATTACCATATGTGGTATAACACTCATTTTGTACTACTCCAAAGATACAATTTCATTATTATGCAATTATTGCTATGAATACAAGCAGAATTATTTAAGTAATGGCTAGGCATTTAAAAAACATTTTACAGTCAGGTTATGGTCAATGATAAAGAAGTTCCTATTATTGTAGAGGTCAGTATTAGTCAAGTGGTTAATCAGGTTATTTATAAGCAGTTATCTACCCTGATACTGCTAAATGGTGGCTTAGTATCAGTCATTTTGTAATTATTGCTATAAGAAAGGGTCTTCTGTTACTTTAGTGGTCAAGTGGTTGGTTAAGTAGTTAATATTATGATGAAAAAAGCCACTTCACACTTTGGGGTTCAGTCACTCAATAACAAAGTACCAATTTTGGAATTATTTTTTGCCAGAGATAACTAATCGTTATATATGTAAAACTGCTATTTGTATAAAGACTGGAGGAGAGCAAAAGGCTGCAAACCTATATTTGAGTGCTTATTTATTTGACTGACTTTATTTGCTTGTTAACAGTTAAAGTATATATATGAATATAAATACACAAAAAGAGAATGGAGTAATATTTGTAATAACTAGATACATAGTGAGCATAGATGACACATATTAAATGGAATTTTATATTATTTTCTAGATAAATCTGTCAGAGAAACAAGTATGGAACACTAAGGCAAATTAGGGAATACCAAGCTGAATATAAATAAACCTGAATGGATGCACTATTTTAAGAGGTTTTATTAAAAAGCACCATATCACTAAATATTTATTCACCAAATCTACTGTGAAACCTTACCTTACTCATATAGAAGTGTTTACTTTTTACCTAATGCTATTTTATAATCAAACATGTCAATCATTTTTTATCAGTTATTGAAAAACTGCAATGCAATACCCCCTTAAAAGCAAAATCAAACAGTTGATGCATTTGGAAGAAACATATAATGGAAATCATTACTTACCATCTAGGGCCAGCAAGTAGGAAGAAATGCCAAAGACCTATATATAAGAAAATTAAGTATATAAGAAAATATTTTAAATCATTATTATACACACTAAATAAAAAATACACAAAACATTTAATAAATAGAACGATTGAAACTACTGGGTCATTTTTCTTGAAACTTTAAAGGTAGACCTACTAGGAGCTTTTGCAAAAGTAGGTTATTTCTGCTTTTGAGTAGAATATTTTAAAATCTCAGTCAATTCATCATATGGATATTTTCAATTATAAAAGGATTTGAGGCTTCATTTTTGCATTTACTGTATGTACTTGAGTATTGTATGAGATTTTATGATCAGTTTTTTATTAAAAAAACTATTACACAGGTAATTTTTTTTTGAAAAGGTTAAAAATCATGCATTTTCAGTGATCGATTGAACTATACACAGATAAATGAAGTTGGCTTATACATGAATATATATGATACTCTATAAATGGGGTCTGTTTTCATTTAATAATGGTTAGTAGTGAGTCATTTTTCTAAAATTGAGAATGTTAGATTATAAAAGCAATGAAAAACTTTATGAATAATATATGATTATTTACAATTGTTTAAGTCATAAGCTGCTCCTATTAAATCCTAGGACTATTCAAATGATTTCTCATAAATTATAAATATCTTAATTTTGTTAACTGTAAATGATTTAAGTTCAAGTTCTTTTAGAGATTTTGCATAATATCAGGTTTTATGTGATATAGAATATGAACATACAAATACAAGCCTGTACAAAAATACACATATGTAATTATAGTTTTCCATTTCCTATCCATAATATCCAATTGCCATTTGGGCAGTACGTTTTGCATATGTGCATTAAGACATAAAGACATCTCCTTGCAACTACCAGAATAATGTCTCAAAATAAGCAACAGATATTATGAAGTAAACATTAATGTTACAAAGAATAGTGCAATGTGACATCTAAATATAGCATACTTATTACATGCTGAAGAAATTGTAATTTTTAAGCAGCATTTTCTTTTCATAGCTACTTTATTTGAGATTTTTAAACACTTCAGCATAAATGCTTTTTGAAAGAATCCAAATAGGACATTGCTCATAATTTGACAATGTTCATTTCCTTGTAGAAGTACGGAATATACTTAGGAAAGTAAAAACTTAAAATAAAAACTTTAAAATTATGACACTTAAATATTTTAATTCAACATCAATTATAAGGATTGTACTGTAAGAAACATCTGCAATGAAAAATACAACATAAAAAATATGTAACAATAGTGTGACTATGTCAAATTAAATAATTACTAGGATTTTTGTTGCAATCATGACATCTAAAATGCTTATATTTACTTTCTAAACTGGCTCTACACAAGGATGATTAATGAACAAAGTAGACTTCTTGACTATCAACTTACAGTCATATCAAGTTGAAATGCCAGCTCTCATACAATCACTGAAGTTAAGCAATGTCGAGCCTAGCCAGTACCTAAATAGGTGACTGTTTGGGAATACCAGGTGCTGTAAGCTTGGATGTGCCAGTAGTGTAGTGGGCAACATTTCAGAACTGGAGAGTAGAGTTCCAATTGCAGTCAGGTTCATTATATACACTTATGTGAAAACACCATCTTCTCCTCCCAGCAATGGGTTAATTAGGAGGACTTGTATCAATAAATCAGTATTATCTCAAAAAAATAATAAATAAAAAAATAAAGATTCTTACAATCTCAAACTATTTGCTGGTATTAAATAACCTGCAAAAGGTTGATAAGAAGTAAAAAAAATAAATCAATTCTTGACTATCAAAATATATTCAATTGGAATACAAGTACTGATAATGAAAAATACTTTGAAGAAGCAATATTTCACCTCATTTCCAGTGCTACTTTGTAACAGATAACAATCATGAACCATGGTCTGATGATTCAAGTCAATCTGCTACAAGTTATGCTGTTGCTCATTTAAATAACTTCCTGATAAGAAATTCTATCTCCATAGTAGAGCTTACAATGCAAGATGACAGAACTAATTTCCCAAATTGGTCATAAGAAGAAAACTAAAAAATCTACCTTTGTTCTTGAGTCAAACAATAGAAACTGAATTCTTTAAGTATCTTTATGGATATGCAACAGATGATAAGAAACATGATTTAACTAACTTGTGGATCATTTAAAATGCTTCCTAAGCTGTCAGAGGAGACTTTAGTTGGAATATAAATGATACAAGTCAATGTTTCCATAATAAAATCAATATTAACCAACTGAAAATGATTAAAGGATATACTTAATTATATGTGCAAAATATAATGTAAGTTTCATCTTAGAATATTTAAACTTATTAAAAATATTGATAACTTTGTTTACATAATAAAACCTGACAGTCCAAACTAAGTGTAACAGATATTTTTTATTTATAAATAGATCAAAAAGATATAGGTCATATGAACATATTTAACACAATATCATATATAACTGAATAAATTATTATTATTATTATTTTGTTGGTTATATAAGCTCCTTGACATTCTATAACTTTCATAAGTCTTATATTCACTGATTTTGTTATCTATATATATATTAATGAAGGGCTACATTTTTTTAAAATAAATATCTGGAGAGGCTTAGTGCTATTTCATTAATTTGATCTCTTTGAAACCTTTTTAGCAAGGTAGGTAATATTCAGCTTTGAAGTAAATAAAGGAGCATTACTTTGAACAAATAAACTTAAAACTTCTTTGTCAAAAATCTCTTCTTTAAGAATTTACAATAATTGTGTATGTTTATTGTTGTAGCCTTGTTAGGACCAGAAATAAAGACACAAAGAGAAGAATTGAGTTAAACAAATATATTAACAGAAACAGTAATACAAACACATACAAACAAGAGTGTTACAGCAAGAATGTTCAGTCCAACTGTCAGAGCTGACTGCAGGAAACTTCCATCTCCAAAAGGCAGTACCTGCTCCTATTTATAGCTGGGAGAGTCCATGCATGCGTAGGTAAATTACTATAACATTTATCATGAGCCATCATTAACTTTGAAGGGACCTATAATTTCACAGCCTATAATACTAACCAAAAACATTACACCCCTACCACTACTCTTATCTTTTGAGTTCTGTTGACTGACTGTTTCCAAGAAAAAACCAATGTCTAGCCCAGTCATCAGGTTTATTCAATATACCTATTCAATCATGACTAATAATTACTGTTGAGAAATCGGTTTTCATTTAATTATTTGCTTGACTTAGATATTTCTCTTTGTGATGTTTATTTTACAATATCTTGTTTTTTTTTTAGATTATAGCTTTCCTTTCACATATATAAAATTTCTTATGACTCATTATATAAAGAAATAAAAAAGATAAATATAAATAACTATAACATTATCTATATTTATTTATAATATGATGACCAACCTTCAAGTTGCGTAATACAATTTCACATCACTAAATACATTGTTGCAGAATACTTTTAATAAAACAGATATTATAAGCTAAAATTTGTATAGGATATTTGTCACATACATTTATTCCAAAATAATTTCTAATATCAGTTAACTAATACAAATTTTATTATAAAAAATATTTTCATAATAAAATTGCATAATAAATTTTCATAGTGAATATTATTAAATGAATGTACATGATACCTACCAGCATGTTTTTTTAACCTTTTTTATAGACTGCCATATTGCAATCTAAATTATGCTTTTGGTATACGTAATGAAAACTCGGAGTCTAGTTTGGCTTAATGTGCCTTTATTGAACATAACTGAAGAGTTTTGCCATTTTGGCTAAGACAGCGTGACTTATTTATACAAATCATAAAACAGAGGAGGTAATTGGGTTGTCTTACCACCTTCTCCTTGGCTTTGTCTGGGATTGCCTCAGTGGCAGCTGATTTGGACTTTCAGATGTTACAGGAATATTCAGCCGAAAGTATTTTGTCACATTTTGTTTTTGTCTTCTTCTTGGAGTGGGATGTACTGATTCTGAAAGCTGATTATAAGAGTCTGTGATAGTATGCTCTCATTTTGATCACTGAATTGTCACTATCAGGGTCTGTGTTCCTCAGGAGAATTCAATGTTATTGTGTCGTCATTACTATCAAGAGGAAGAGATATTACTTCAGGAGAGAGTTGCTCCTCCCCTTGCTGACAGGGGCCAAATCTCTGAGGGAAACATTTGTCTCCTATCAGGGTGCTGGATGTGCACATAGAGTGAGTTTGTTTCAAACAGTTCCACCTTACTCACAGGAGAATTATATTTGCTTTGTCAAACATGGTTTCTAAATAAAACACTACCTGGCTGTAAGAGTCACAAAGGGAGGAAGATCCTGGAATAATTTCACCTTTCAAATTTTAAAAACCTTTTGTGAGGTGTTGCATTAAATCTTATAGCATACAGAACTTTGGTTATTACATCTCCCCAATGTCTAATTAGAAGGTTTTGGTTTTCAAGTGCTAACTGCACAGTCTTTCATATTATGTCACTGTATCTCTCACACTGTCTATTTCCTTGAGGATTGTATGGGTAGTCTGCCTTATAGCCACTCCCTGTACCAATAGGAATCTTACATAAAAGAGGTCCCACAATCTGGTATCCCGAATATTGAGAACATTGAGCAAAGACAGCATATGACTGTTGTTGCACTTACATCTGAACAGGGAAAGGCAAAAGGAAATTGTGAGTAATCTGATGGTTGTCAACCCATAAGAACTTTTGTCATGGTTGAATACAAGATTATATTTCTTGACAGTCACCAAAAACTGTTTTAGCTCATGATTGTGGTCATCCTAGTCATGACCACACACTATCACATTATCTATGTAGGCAAAGATGTCTTGTAGTTTTTCTTCAAGAATTATTTTATCGAGGACCCTCTGAAAACTGGAAACCCTGTTAGTGACCCCAAACAGAATCCATCAGAACTGATAAAGTTGTATGCAGGCTTCAAAAACTATATAAGACTTATCTTTAGCATCTATAGCTACTTGGTGGTAATCACTCCTTAGGTCTAACATGCTAAATATTCTGTATTTGGCGATCTCGTTTATCATCTCATCAATACCTATTTATAGTTTGGCAGTAGTCTATGACCATCCTTTTTTATTATTATCAGAGGATGTTATTAATACTTGTGCCCACCATGGTGATCTGCTTTCTTTGAGTATTCCTTCTCTTAACATTCTTGTTACTTCTGCTTGAATAAATGTTTTGTCTCCAAGAGAATATTTTCAAGATTTGGTGGCCACTAGTTTACAGTTTTTGGTTAAGTTTTCAAAAAAAAGAAGGGTATTGTACATTTATAGCAGCCAAGCCACAGATGTTCAATGCCAGTTTTGGGGCCCCTAAAAGGGAGATTAATACTAGAAGTTTGTTTGAGGAAGTCGGGGCCCAGTATGACATCGCAGCACAGATTTGGTGTTAGTGTAGTTAGTTTGATTCAACTCTAAGCTAGCCAAAATATATTCTTTAACCTGCAAAGATAGTGAAGTGTTCACCATAGCCACCTGACTATTACAATGTACAATTTTAAATCAGTTTCTTTTTGCAATATCGGTGCTAATAAAACTCTCTGAGCTTCTTTTATTGACTAGAGCATTCATTTCTACCCTGTTTATTTTTACCCTTAATATAGCCTTTAAAAGACATTTAGGGTTTGCAATAGATATGATACTAGTCAAAATAGAAGCATTTGAACCAGCTGAAAAAAAAAGCATGATCAACAAACCTTAGAGAAATGTCCCTTCTTTCTGTACTTGTGGCATTTAGTTTCCTTGACTGGAAAACATGACCTAGGGTGTAGTTTGAGAACATGAAAATAACATTTTCATCTGGCTGCCTGCTCGCAAACAGTAACTAAATCTAGTTGTTTATTTTCCAGCAATTTTTGGTTGATATAGTTCAATTCTAATCCATTTATAAAGGAATCTCTGCTAAATTCATCCTTTTCCTGATCTGCTGTCATCGCTTTAAAGTTACAGTCTCAACTTAAGATTTTTAAGTCCTGAAGGTACTGTTCTAACACCTTCTCAGGGGATTGGTGGGTAGTTGTTAATACATGCCAAGCAAAGATTATGTTTCGTCTCTTCACAAAAATTCCATCCAAAATGTCCATGGCATCCTGGTAAGTTTTGCAATGAGAATATTGGTGTAGTGACACTGGCAAATTAATATGCCTAATTTGCATAAGTGCAAGAGAAAGCCTATATAACTCATCACTGAGAATAACGTGGGGCGAACAGACTATTGAAGAGAACTTGATTCAATTAAGGTTAATTGAAGGTATGTGCAATGCATCACACCGATATAAAATAATGGAACAACTACAAATATGAAATATGTCTTTAAATACATGCATTGACTTTATACAGCAACAAGAATTAATACAGAAATACATCCATCATAAAAGTCAACCCAGCAAACAGATATTCGCTGATACGTACATGTTAAAAAAGATAAGAAAATGTTCGTATTGTGGACGTGAACATGAAATAAAAAGGGAAAAATGCCCAGCATTTGGAA